CAAGTTTTGTAGATAATGATTACACGCATGATTCAAAAATTTCCCTGATTTCAAGATTACACGCATACATTTATTACATTTCTGAATTGTTCCTGTTTGAATCTTCCGATTGTACATTTCTTTAATATATTTATAGTACCTTTAAACATCAATCAAGAAACTATAAGAAAGAAATTTAAAAAAATTATTTTTAAAAAATGTTTTTACTAAAATAATTTAATGGAAAGGTGTTCTTTAAAATAATGTTCGTAATTTTCCAAGTGCTCATCTTTTTGAGCTCAATAAAGATAGCTGATAAAAATTAATATGAAGCTTTAATTAATAAACAAATATTTAAATAAAACTTTAACACCAGATGAATGAAATTTAGAGACAAGCGTCAGTATGGGTTATTTTTCGCCAAACATAAATTATACATATTACGTAACTTATTTAAATAAATGATGTTTTCGACTGAATCTGACAGGGAAAAGTAGAAAAACATATGCAGTATTATGGAATCATGTGCCCTGTGTTTATTGTAATTCATATCCTCCTACTGCTGCGGAATATATCTCGGAAAAAATATAAGTCCTAATGATAGGAAAAGTAAAATATTAACATTTTAATAAATACGAGTTCAACGAATATATAGAGTTAATGATTGAATAATGAGAGAATAATGATGATATTGAGAGTTTAACGAATATCCCCACTAAATCTAAATAATTAAACAGATATTATAAAAGGTCAGGTACACAAAGGGTCATGTTTTTAAGTTCTGATAAAATTTCATAAAAACTCGATTAATTTTAAAATTTTCGACTTTAGTTCACTACTACTGAAAAAATAAATCACTCAAAAGTAAAAGGATGTGTTAACTTTTTTTTCCATTGAATTTTCGAATGATTGTTGTTATTTATTATTGAAATGTATAATTACTGCTTAGTTTGGTTTTAATAGCAAAAAATTAAAATCGTTTGCACTGCAGCGTTTAATTGGATATAATATGAAAAAAACACAACTACTTCGATTTAGTAGGAACAACATATGACGCAATGCTAAACGAATGGAATTTAGTTGTTGTTTATTTAGTTATTGTTATTAGTAGTTGTTGTTATTTGTTAGTTGTTGTTGTTTACTTAGTTGCATTTAGTTTCAATAACTTTTCTTTATCATGCAATATAAAATCTGGCGAGCAGCTATTTAAACGATCGAACACTTCGTTTGTTTATTTGTGGCTTGAAGTTAGGCTCGCAGAAAATGCCGTTCATGGGTTAAATTTAGTAGGANTGATATTTTTAACACATCTCTTACTGTTTTTTTAAGAAACTATGTTCAAATGTTTTAGTATTGCAATGTCATTAGTTGTTACCACTGTTCATGTTCGTTAGTTACTACCACTGAGGAAAATTATAGCTTAATATTGTTCATGGGTTAAATTTAGTAGGAACAACACAACCTGTGACGTAGGCTATATTATACCCAATTCATTGTTTAAATTTTATATTAGTTTGGTTATAATAACAAAGAATAAAAATCGTTTGCACTGCCGTGATTAAACGATTATTTAAATTTAATATTATTACAGTTATTCTTTTAATTTTTTTCCTACCGTCTGCCATTTCTTTTCTATTGAATTACTATATTCTTTCTGAATAAAAGGTCTGGGTGTATTGTTTAATGTATTTTGTTAAAATTCTTTACTTGCAAGCAATATTTATTAAAATTTTGTTCCGATCTATCGAAACAATAGCTGATGTACCTGAGGTAAGAATACGTCAGTTATTTTATTCTCTTAATTGCATTAACTGAACGAACGTTAAAAACTTTCTTTTCTGCAACTTTTTTTTAAAAAAAATACTATTTTAATCTATATTTTATGCAGTACATAACCTAATTGTATTCGTATGCCCTTAAATAGGGCAGGTCGAGTTATGAATAAACAATAACCTAATTGTATTAAATTTTAAATAAGAATACATATAACAATCATTGCAATGTGGACATTACGAATGAATTTTTGGTTGATTTATTCTAGAATTCTTCTGTGGTTTTTTTTTTCTTATTTTTCTATTTGTTTAAAATGTTGTATTGAGTTTTTGTTTGGTTGTTCAGGCATTTAAAATTTTATAAGGAAGAAGGAAATGCTTTTGAAAAGAACAGTTGCAGATAATTAAGTATGAGGAGGGACACTTTTTAATGTAAAGCGAAAATTCCGTCGAACACAAAAACTGCGTTCTAACCTTATTAACAGAAAAATTTATTAGGAAATTTTATTTAAAGAAGAAAAAACAGTTTTCCGTAAATGAGCCCCTGAATTAGACAGGCCGACTTATCATTCATTTTTGGAGCAAGAGCTAACATAAGCACATAACATAACTAATACTAACATAACGTTAACTTGCGAACTTGTTTGCTCCAATATTGCTTGATAGGACAGCTCTCATAGTATAGGAGCCTTAGTTATACCTAAAGAGTTTGAATAATGCGAATTTCAACAAAAAAAAAAGGAGTTTAGCAAAATTTCTCCTGTTTTTAAACTGATTTTCTCAAATGAATTCTAAAACCAGAACGGAATCTTGAAAACTTCCGCTTCCGGTGTATCTCTCCGCTTATGTTGTTTACGTAATTAAACTGGATTTCATGTGTTTTAACCCGCTTATCCTACTAGTGATTTCTTAGATTTCAATGACTATTTTGTTTTTTTCTTCGTTTGAAAGTTAATTTGCAACCTCTAATATCCATACTTTTTTTCCCATTCACAAGTATTTTAAATATATAATATTAAAGATGGTTATTTCGTAACGTAGGACTATTTCAAACTAGACAAGAAGAATTTCAGTTATTATTTCCTTCCTATGAAATCTTTGTGTTTGCTAAATTTTAATTCGATTGGCGAGTGATACTAAGCTTCCTTGATAGCTTCAGCTATCAAGCTACGTAACATAGAAAAATAGCTACGTAACAACGTAACATAGAAAAATTGCATGGATTGTTGTTCAGGCTATGTTCATAATTAATAACTGTCGATGGATACAAGTAACATTTCCTCTTCCAAAAAGAAAAGAAAAAAGAATATTTTTCTATTACAGCATAAGTTTATTCAAATTTGATGCTCTTAATTGTTACACATTCTTATTTCCCTATTCAGATCAATTGAAAGTTTTTACTTATTACTTAAAAAAATGCTACATTAAAAAAATTTATATTCATCATTAAGATTTAAGGAAGTAATACAGTGCAGACCCAAAGAAATGACGATATTTTTATGGTCACAGTGCCTTCGAAAACCTGCACTAAATATTACGCAAAGGTGCCGAAATAGGTTCCTAATTATTTATACATCAAAATTAGTTATTTTAGTCTTTATTTCTTTAAATATTGAAAGTTTTATTACAACACAGATTTCGTCACCTTTTAAGTTTGTGAGTACGCAGATTTATATATGTTTGTTTACTTGTATAGAAACAGAGTACATTTTTACTTCGCATTAAGTAAGTCTAGAAGAATTATTAACATTATAGAAGTTACAGTATATAAATAATATGCTAAAAAAACAAATTCTATCGATTTTTAGCGATTTTGATTGAATGAATTATTCGATTGTATGATGAATTTAAAAACATTGAGTTTTTAATATGAGCATCAAAGGAAATCAAAAATGAAGAATAAAACGGATCAAGGGAATCACGGGAAAAAATGGCTATAAGACTACTTAAGTTTGTTTGTTTTTGAAAATAAATAATTTGTTCCAGCTGAACTATTTTTGATAACACGAAATTATTTTGTTTTTTATAATTGTTTAGTTAAAATAAAATATTTATGTAAACTAACTTTTTCTCTCCTTTAAAAGGAGTGAATGTTTAGTCCAGAGTTTAAATACTTTGCCAAAACTTTTCGTAGGGCAGAAAACTATTCCATCGAACTGTAAGCCAGTTTTATAGTAAGTTTTAAGTTGCTTGCATCATTAGGTCATACTAAAATGTAATATTCCTCGAAGAAATATAGTTTGCAAATTTTCAATCACCATTAGTGACAGTTTATTTCTCCTTTTATTTAACTTTCTGTCAAGTAGTTTTAATTAGAGTATAATTATTATGGGAAAGTTTTTTTTGCTCTCAGTGATTCGGTCGCCAAATATAAAACAAACTTCTTCGTTTCGTACTTAAAGGGGATGAATTTTAGAATAACTTCTACAATTAATGGATTCCATCTTCGACTAAAAATGTAAAAAGTGGCAGAAACTCAATTCATATTTATTTATTTATTATTACTCTTTAACTAATCAATCTAAACTACTACCAGGATTTACATTTCAAATTATTCATATTTAAAGCAAAAGCATTCTTTACATTCGTTTTCAATGTTAAACTAAAAACAAATATGCTATCAAAAGCTTTTAATTTTAATCTCTATAACTAAAATTTTAAATTTTAGTACACACCACTTTTTGCACTGTTAATCACCCGTGGTAATTTTGTAAATGCAAGTTGATATTCCTTTTAAACTGCCTCGAATTAAACCAAATAATCTTGAATAAGAGGAAAAGAAGAAAAAAACCTATTTATTGAAATTATGTTTAAGTTCACACACTCATTATCAGTAGTTAAAAAATAAGTTAAATATTTATTACAAGGAAGCAAAAATATTTAGAAAACGCTTAAGTTCAAGAAAATTTATTAAAGCCAAAAACTTTACGAATACTTTATTATTCGTAAAAATCTTGCGAAAGTAATTTCCAGATGCAAAAAAAAAAAAAAAAAAAAAAAAAAAAAAAAAAAAAACTATTTAAGTAAGTTAACGGTTTATGAATCAGGAAATAAAATTTTAAAAATATTTGAAACCTTAGTACCATTACAGCAGAATTATCTATTTTTGTAATTGTTATGTATTAATCAGTGTTATTTATATATAAGGCCGTTTGACGTAATATAACTAAAATAATGAAAGATGTATAGTTATGTATGTATGAACTATTAGATTGATATACATAGATAAAGTTAAAATTTTTAATTATTTAATAAAGGTTTTCCTAAATTAAACATAAGTTTACTATTTAAAATATTTCAAAGAAAAATATGACATAAATTTTGCTTACTTTGGAAATATCATACTGACGTGTATTGTTAGTGAGTCATTGGTAACGCTAAGAAAATATCACAGCAGAACTAGCTTTTATTATTTTAGTATTTAAGTCAACAATCTTTTAAAAATGAAAAGAATTTTGAAATTAATAATAAAAATACAATGTTAAAAATAATAAACCTAAGCATACTTCGATTTTCAGATCGATTATTTACAACTTTATAATCAATAATAAAAATAGACTAAGAGTCCAAGTCATGAAATTACAATATAGTTTAATATAAAAGTTTCTACTCTTTCATAACTTCTTAGAAACATAAACGTTTCAGAAAAAGAATTTTGAAATTGAAATTATGTACATGGGATGAAAAATTATCTCAATTGTAATCAAAATTTTAGAATTCATTGAGCTAGTAGAACTTTTAAATACACAACCTTTTCCTTATGTCTATCTTCTTTCTTGATCCTTCTTGATTGCATGAGCTAAGCATAAAGCAAACATACACCCTAAAAGTTCAACTACAGCGATACCAATAGCAACACCGCCAATGATTGTAATAGAACCTTTGACTAGTTCAAGTACTTGACTAAAGCAGCCTTGAAATGCATCTGTTTCAGTGCAGGGAGCGTTATCTTTGCAGCAACTGTTTGGAATTTTAAGATTTAATTTCATGTAATCCCGAGCGCCATCAATACCACAGCATTCAAATTGATATTGAATGAAATTCCAAATTTTCACTGATTCTTCTCTTTGTTGGGCCAAACTTTCATTCATGTTCATTCTCAAAAAATCTTCAACTTCTCCCTTGTAAAAGTATGCAGCTATTCCACCAGCAAGCTCAATCATCATCAGAACAAATACGAGAAGAGCAAAGACCATCACCATAAAATGATTTTCTTGCATAGCACCCCAGCATCCAAAAAATGATATCACAAATATAACAGATCCTAGGACGATTAAAATGTACGGCACCGTTATATATTTGTTATCCAAGAAATGCGTCATATCCTTTTTGGTCCCTAGAGCTCCAACAATAATCAGAGCAATGCCACATATCACAAATATGAAATTAATTACGAATAGCAAATTCCTGATGATTTTCATAGAACCATGCACCATTTTGGCAGATTTAACTGAGGCAAAAATATGCAAACAAAATTAAATTAAAGTATTCTAAATCTGAGATAGAACACAGTTCTCTTACGTTGAGAAAAATGCAAAAAACACTAGAAAATACAGATCGGTTATAATCTTTAGAACACTCGAGCAAGTTTATTTTATATATTGCAATATTAACCCTTTGTCTTAATTTCTGCTTTTGCGTGCCAAAATATACTGGTAAACTGTCATAACAAATAAAATACCCTATAATAATAAAAAATAAGATTTGAGTTAATACTTTTCCCAATTTTAAACTTCCGGTAAAAGTATCGTGTACTTTTATATCAGTGCGAATTTCAACACTTGCAAATTTTTTGTTTTAGGTGGTACCTAAAATAAAATATTGAGATGTCCAAGCTAGAGGCTGAACAAGATCCTTTAGTGGAGTGGAATATATCAATCAATTATCGTGATTTTTTGGTTGGGAATGGTAATTAGCTGTTTACACTATTCCAATTGGATAATACGTATTCCCATCCCAATAGAAACATATTTCTATTGGTTACTATCTAACTGAATGATCAGTGATGGATTGCGTTGACAGGGATAAGTGAAGTGACTTCAGCTTAGACATCTCTATAAAATTTAAAAACTATATTTTTCAGTTTGTTCAAATTATATTTGTTTCTATTATATTACAAGCAAAATTAATTCCCTTTTTTATCTCTAAACAAATTTCGACCACTTATTTCTGAAATAAACTAAAAGACAAACAACTAAAAGGAAGAAAATTATAAAATAAATTTTATAAACCACTTTTTATAAAGGGAGAAAACGATAATATTCTTATCTAAACTGAAAACGTTTTGCTTTTGAAAGTAAAAGAAATATTCAATATTGATGAAAGTTTGTTTAGACGAAGACTAAAGTAGAATTATTTTCTCTTTCTTTTTCCATTTGAAAAACATTGTGTTATTTTTTTATTATTTTCTTCTTTTTGATTTTGTGTTGATTAGTTTGTTTTGTCAAAAAATGGTCGAAATTTAGATTGGTAGTAAAAGGGAGATAAATTTTGCTTGCAACATCAAGGGCCTGGTGCCCTGGGATTCTGAGAGGTCGTTGTTACAGCTAAAGATTTTCACTATTTGTCAAACTTTTCTTGACCATTCGGCATATTTACGAAAATTAATTTTCTCTCATTTTATTTCGGAAACCCAAAGGAAATCTTATGACACCTTTATTTAACTTTTTTGCTGAGAAAAGAATACGTAAGTATCGTTTTAGGTATTCATTTCTCATATGTTCTTCAGAAAATATAATCTCCTCCTTGCCAATGAAAAGCCCATTTGAAGCCCAAGCATGGAACTTCTTTTTCCCAATACAAATGTGCCAGTTTCATCAGAAATCAAGTGATTTCTCTGTTCGTATTGGTTAAACCACTTCACACGTGTTTGTCTCTATACTTCTTTAACTTCATTTGACGTTTAGACTTCGAGAAAGAACTGAAACTATGGTATGTCCATTTATGCATTTTCATTTGTGCTTTAGTCCCGCAGTGGACTGATCGTTAAGACACGGTTCCCAGCAGATCACCGAAGTCAAGCATCACTGGCTACGGTCAGTGTGCGGGTGGGTGACCACTTGGATCAGTCTGCGTAGGGACCGAGGGTGTGCGGTATTAGTCCTCGTTAAACTGTGCTACCGTAAAGTGCTCGACTTCGCGCGCAGGTCGTCGGGCTACCGAAGCGGGGATGCCATCCCCTCCGCAGAGGATCAAAATTGCGATGGCATGTCTTCGGATCATCCTCCGGGATGTTTCCCAGACCGTCGCCAATAGCCCATTGTGCAGCTCTAGTGCGACGTAAATTAACAATAACAACAAAAATCATTTGTGCTTTATTCTCATTATTTTTTGCTTTAGTCTACATAGCACAAGTACATCCTATCTTTTGTTGGACCAATTTGCTTATCCTCAAAGACCCCCACGTCCTTCTTTCATGAAGAGGGAAAATTTAAATGGTGCAGCAGTAAATAAGTAAATACCGTTTGGTTAGTTTTATAGACGAATGTTGCACGAAGTTTAAAAAAATGGTTAGTAAATTAGTTATATACTTGAGAAATTTTTGAATGCATGAAAATTTTCTGCGACTGAAAGACTGAGTAAACAATCTATATATATATATATTTCTCTTACACGGCAACAAAAAAAAAGCCTCATTACAACTCCCCGAATGGCAACGCTATAAAATCGACCAATGATTGCCGCTGAAAATGTCACATGCCAAATCTAGCTCAACATATAGCGCTTTTAAAAACGGAAACTGAAATAACCAGAGAGAGCAT